TGGCATGGCATGCATGCAACATTTCATTGCTTTAATCTGGTGCTGCCTGAAAGCTTGTTTTGGTAGGTATTGTATCCTGGAATGACACAGAACTAGAAATGCTAGGATATCAAAATACTTCCAAAACCAGCTTAACCAAATGAAATCAGCTGAGCTGTGGACATGTGAAATGCACATTTAGAAAGACTCAGAGCTGGAATGTAGGTGAGGCTAAATACAGGAACACCAGTGTTATGTGAATACCTAACAACAGCAGGAATATTACCAATAAGGACATTTATACATAACAATATTTTTATTTCTAAGTTAATCTGAACTGATAAGCCTCTTAAAATGTAAAGTTAGGACTCCCAAATTCACTGACCTATGGAGCTAAGAATTGTTAATCTTACTTCTTCTTCTGGGGAAACTGAGGCAGAGAGGTTCAGTGACTTACCCAAGGCCACAGAGGTAGTCACTGTCAGAGCCAGGATTAGAGCTCAGGAGTTTCTGGCTCCCAGTTCCCAAGCTCAGACCACTAGATCATGGCCTCAGGATATATCCAGCTGATCTTCAGTCTAAAAAAAAGTAAATTCTCAAGTATGTTACAAATATGTAACATATATATATATATGTATATTTATATGTGTATACATATATATATATATATATATATTTCTTTTTACCTGAATGTAATGATATGAGTGAAAACACATTGCTCATAAGTCAGTGCTGAAAATCATACCAGTATATTTTATCTGAGTTACCTTAATCATACATATATGTATGATAAAGCTCTGCTGAAAAAAATTATGATTTAAATTACAGCCAATACAAATACGTATTGTATTTTTCAGGGTAAGGAACAAATTGCCTTTCCAACCCAGCCAGCATGTCATTTATATTAATGGTGAGGCATTTGTATTAATGATAAGTTGCTCTGTGTGTAAGTAAACTCTATTAAGAAAGTCAGGTCCCTTGGTGGAGCTAGATCCTTAGTAAATTTTACTAGCTAAGCACTGAGCTCCATGTCAGAGTAATTGCACCTTTTATCCACTGTGAGCTCTCTCTTAGCTTCTCCATATTCCTTAATTTCCCACTTCAGCTAATTTAGCAGTAAAATCACAAAGGTTTAAAAGGTTAGCTACCGAGGAACTGGCGCATGAATGTTCTGTTAAGCTCCGTGCATTGAAATCACATTATGTAGAAGAAGGAATTAATTAAGTAACAATTAGGTAGTGATGGATCATTGGCAACATATCTACACTTGGGTGCTAAAAATTAATTTCCCCTGTAAAAACAATACATTCTGCATCTTCTCATCTATACACAAGCAAGTTTTACACTTGAAATACAAAATGGAAAGGCCCTTCAGCAACCTATTTAAAAAAAAAAAAAAAGAGGCATATCTTCTGGCACTATTGAAACTATAAAATATTTTTTAAAATCATGTAGCTTACTTTTCAATAATTAATTGAAAAAGTAATGAGGATAGCAAAGGGGGAAGAAATTTTTAAAGGCAGGAGATTTTTAAGTGACTGTAAGGACACTAGGTATATGAAAGCACTTAGTATGTTAAAATTGCTAACAATTGTGTAGTATTCTCTTGCTATCTTCTTTTGCAAGTTGCCATATTGTTTCCTTGTATTGACAGTCAGCCTCTTAATACACAGATTGGCAGTTAGCCCAGTTGGTCCTCAATTCTAAAAGCCTCTTAGCAGATGAAAAATCTTTGGTTCATTCACACCTTGTAGAAAGAACAACAGGGCAGAAGTGACATCCAGATCCATTTAGAGTATACTTTGAGTCTGATTTTCCTTCGCCTTGCACCTTGTGTAGTCATTTATAGCTTTGCAAAGTGAGCACAAAATGGATATAAAACACTGCTACTCATGTGAGGAGAGAATTCTGATTTGGTTGCATTATTTCCAGAGGTGATCACAAAAAGTGCCAGCCAGTTGAAAAATCTGTCTCTGTATAGAAAGTGTAAACAATTTTGACACAAAATATAAAGTAAAAAGCAGCAGCCCTTTCCAAATATTTTACATAAATTGCACTTTTGTTTTGCAGCACTGGATATGTTCACTTGCTATTTGCTTGGAATTCTCATACAAAGAATACTAAATGCCTAACTCATCTACAGAAAACAAATCCTATCTTTCCTTGCTTTTAAGAACCATATTTAACTATGAGCCCTAAAGTATATTCTCACTTAAAAGGGAGCTCATGCCATCTATAAGATGACATCTATAAGATCTCTACAAGTCCTATCTTCCCACATGCTGCTTCTAAACCCACTACTTAAAAGGTTTCATTTCTACAAAACCTCCTGGAATCAATGTGAAAAGCTGGTATTATCACAACAGCTGGTCTCAGTCCATCAGAGTTCAACACTGTTCTGACTTTACTATGGGTGACAAATTATTGTCAGCATTGATCAGTGATATCTCTGCTATACAACCTACTATCAGTATGATAACTCAAGACCTACTACCAAAAAATTCTTTAAGATGCAAGCTATATCAGCAGGAAAGGGCTGCTGATATTAGATTTATGAATGCGTTTTAAAAAAATTGACAGTTAAAAAAATGAAGGACATAATCTAGCTGTTGCTGGAGATGTGGTCAAATATTATTTCTACTTCAGATCAGGATACAGTAACTAATTCTGTATGTCTGGACATTTTTTCCCCATATCATCTTATGGTCATTTTTCTGGCCCTTCCCAGACAGACTTTCTTCTTAGTATGCCTAAATACCATGATGCCACGATAGTGCATGGCAACTCGTGTGTTGATTAGGAGTAGAAACAGCAGTTACTGCATTAGCAGCTGTTGATCTGAGAATATTGCTAACAGTAAATAATGCCTCTTAGTGTTTCTGTGGGAATTTTTTTCTTTCTTTTAATCACAGTCATGAATTTCATGGAGTCATGACACAGTTTCCAAATCTACTACCATGGTCCAAAGCTTATTCTTCAACCAAGTAGTTAAAGAACATTTTTTTAAAATTCTTAATATTTTACTAATAATGTATTATAGGCTAGAATTTATTGCAGGGTTTTGCATTTGTATTTCTTCTTCTCTTTTTTTCCCCTCTCCCCCTTCTGCATTCAGAGCTTCTGTAAGCATTCTGAGTTGCTAGTCTGGCTTGACTGGAAAGTACTGTGTGTTTGTTGTGTGTCTGCATGTGTGATACCAACTGTTGAAGACTGCTTGATGTTAGATGAGGGCTTATGCTCAGAGCTGTTCTACAGTCGTCTCTCTGGCAAAATCTTTCCTTACCAATGACAATGATGTATCTGTGTGGGGAGAGTCTGTTTTACAATATTACACTTGCCGTGGTCTTAATTTTACTGATGGGGCATGATTATGATTTCCTTTACATTAATCAAATTCATGAGTCATTCCATTCATGTCAATAGCATTAAAGAGCTATAGAGACAAGTAAGAGTTCAGAATCAGGCTTCTGGTGTTTAATCTAAAAGCATATCTGAATCACTTCATTAAAGACAGAAACTGAAGGATAGATCCTCTGCTTACTTTGCATTACTCAGTCATGCCATTAGCATTAAACATCAAATAAAGAGCTAAAACGACAGCTGGCAATGTGTCACAGTACAAGGGTTTTCCGTTTACCTCAGATACAGAAAATACCCCTGAATTAACAAGATTTAAGACTACATTCCAAGTATGACAAACTTATGGTATTAGATCTCCTTGCCCTTGAATGTTGGCAATAATGTTTAAGAACTTTTTCCTTCCCTTGTTTTTTGTTTGTTTTTTTTATGCCACTCTTACATAATATGAATGCAAAAGATTTACATAGCTTGAATGCAAAAGATCTAAAGGCAAACTATATTTAAGTAAGACCTGAGAGAGGAGTTAAGTTTTATAGCCCTGTCCATAAGGAATATCATATGGTAAATACAGAAGCATAAAAACTGTGATCACAAGACATAAAATTTGTTTTCTAGGTATCTTATAAAGCATTATCAAATCTCCTTTAAAAAAAAATAAGTGAAATAACAATAATTTTCCAAATACAGGCATTCTAAAACAATAAAAGTTTTTATACTGCTGTCTGTCTCCTGCTCAGAGAGAGAAATTGTGCAGGGGATGATGGGCATTAATTTAGTCCTCACTGATAAGTACTTTTAAGACTAAATATTCTTGAAATTGCACTTATTTAAATTATATTCAAGCTCCCTGTAAATCTAAAAAAAGATTATAAGGAGGGGAAATAATTTCAAGAAGCCTAGCAAGTTAGCAGAAAATTGCTCTATTATATCTCTTCAGATTTTTCCATTTATTAAGTCAAAGAATTACTGGCATTTGAGAACATTTTCTAGAAATCTGTTTGATACATTATAGGCCCTAGAAACTATTACAGTCATATATACTGTCAGCTTCACCACAAGCATATGCCCCAAGATACCTAATCAGAGAACTGAGAACTAATACAAACCAGGGCCAAAGCAAGCTGGGAAAAGGGATCTTTTGCTATATTTTTTGTAGATCTCACTGAAAACCAAAGATCTATCTGAGCAATTTGTTTTTCCAGTAGAGCTGGAATTGCAAAAATATTTTCTTTGGAACTTCCAGAGAAAGCTTTCTTTTCACCCTGTTAGACCACACATTGAGTTTTACCCCCTACACGAACACAGCATAAAGTTTGTGTATGTTGAAACAATAAGATACTGTCTTCAGGCTGGATACAAATGTTACTTAAGCAACTGGTGTCTTACCAGAAAACCTTAATATAATATCTACTCTTGGTAACAATGGTTCTTACTCTTAGAAACCATGGGAATCATACATTTTCCTTTGTTATCTTTTCCAGTGTTGTACTTTGTGATAATATTGCTGTGTATTTCAGCATACACACTTGGGCGCACAGATTAATTATGAGGCAATAAACTTTACATAAAAGTGCTGAAAAACAATTAAAAATTTCTCTTGTTTTTCAACAAACCGAAGTGAACAAGAAATTGAAGAAATATAGAACAGAGAAGTCACCTACCGTGGTTGTCTTTATCCGTCCTCCTGGTTGTGTACAGGTCCAGCCTGATTTATTGATTAGCAAATCACAGCCTTCTCCTTCTAAACATGGAAGCATTTCACACCACTGTTTTGTTTTGATAATTCGTGCTATGAAACAGAAAAGGAAGAAGAAAAAACAAAACCAAAAACAATTGGCAGGAGAATTCACATTTTACTTATCTCTAAACACTTTCTCATTTGAGTTGTCTATTTGCATTATCGGATAATTCAGCAATGGTTTATGATGTAGACAGCCCTAGGCAGTTTACAAAATTATTTACAACACCTGCTGTGCCAACAAATTTAATTTCAAACTTAAAAACCAACAAAAACCCAAAAGACAGCTTTATTATAAATCAAAAGAAAATAGAAAATAGCTCTTTTTCTAATGTCATGTTCCTTCCAATGAAGGAAACATTGTTGGGGAGGATTAATAATTGGAGACCTACTATCCTAACTAATCATTTTGGTGCCCCACAACAGTGATCCATTGTGTTAGACTCTCTACAAACTGAGCAGATAGTCCTTATCCTGAAGTGCTTACACTGAAAATAGACATGAAGCATCAGGGGAAAGAGAAAAGCTATAATAAACAGAAGGGTCGGTTTAATGACAGCTATTGAGAAATTCTGTGATACTTGCAATGGTGGGGTGCAGTCAAGGGCAGAAACTAGGAACATAAGAAGGACAGGTATTGAATAAAGCCAAGATTGAGAAACCATGGGGAGGGAGAAAATAAACTGAGGGAAAAGACAGGACCAAAGAGCCTATTACTACAAGGGAAAAGAAGCCTAGTTAGGAAGTTGTGATACATGTTTTGTGTCTACTCTCAATGCTTGTGTCTCTGGCAAGCCAGTTCTGCAAAATTTCCACAAGGTCATACACAGCATGTAGTCTTGGAACAACAGAGACCTGACTGCAATAAAGTAAAAGCAAAGGAGTTGTGAGGAGAATTTTTTCCTCAAGGTAGGAAGAGAAGGGGCTTTAATACCCGTAGACCTCTTTCTGGACTATAATACTGCTTCTTTTGAGTTCACCTTTGTAGTATCTGGGTTCCTTCTCATAGAATAGCAAACAATATTACTAATATCTGCTATTCTGTTATTCTTTCACTCTTCACTGAAGACAATATTGTACAGTGGAATGTTTAGCATGCTTTTCACAAAATGCATATAGAGACACTCACACGGTGCCATATACTCATGCTAAACAAGGCAAGGTCTCCCAAACTAACTTTTGCTCAAACTGTAAGGCTTTCAATCTGCAGAAAATGGTCCTGTTCCTCCACAGATCATCTCACCAGTTCTTGGTTGCACTATAGGAAAGCTTCAGCACTTCAATTTATACATAAGTGTCCTAGCATGCAAGGCCAGAACTTGTCCCGCATAGAGGGACACAGATCATGCCTTCCTCCATGCTGATGTGTGACACCAATACACCTAACACACCTTCAGTAATCATAAGCCCAACAAAAAGAGAACTACAGGAGAAGTACTTAATGAAATAAGAGTACAAGAAGCTTATGCTGTACCAAATTAATTTGGGGTCCAAGGAGACTAAAATTAGGCATTTTTCCCAGTGGCAGCTGCAGCTTTATGCTCACCTGAACGTGTGATTCAGCCTGACTTCTTCTCTCTGGAGCTACTTAAGAATACAATTCCCAATGCCACTGGATCATGGCAACAAAGAGAAGTGCAATTTAAAGTTTTTAATAAAACCCTTCCTGATATTTTTACACAAAACAACTTGTGTCCTCAGTTCTGGTATAATTGTTGGTAAGCTCTAATAATATAATAAAACCTGATTTCCTTCAGTGGAAGCAAAATCTGAAATTCATATTAATATTTTAATTATAAAACCTCTTTAGTACCTAAATGTCTACATAGGAATTTGCACTGTTCATTAGGCAATATATAAATCAATGGTGAAATGATTCATAACTACATTTTTTTTTGAAACAACTCTGCTAGGCTGAGGTTTTTTTGAAACAACGCTGCTGTGTATTATGTTTAGCACATAATACACAGAAATGTGGATTCTACTTGGGCACCAGAGGTACTGCTCTACTGATAACTGGATCATATCAGTTTTTGAGACTAACCCCTCCTTTGTAACAGATAAAAGCCTCATCCTTTCAGTGAAGGCCTGCGTCCAGTTACAGGTTTAATAGAAAAAGCTCACTAAAATGCTAACACCAAATCTGACCTACTTGCATGCATATCTTTCTTAATTCACATATCAAAATGGCTATTTCTATAAATGTTTCAACAATATGAGGAATCACTGAAAGACTAAATAGTAAGCTAAATTCAGAAATATCCACTAGATTTCCTTTACTATCTCAGCTGGGAGGTTTTCCTGGAAATATGACTTGAAGTAATTTTATTTTAAAAAAGTATCTCTGAATTATTCTTTGTGTTTTCTTGGTTGCTATTGATATTATCACAAATCCATGGGGTCCTTGCTCTGATATATTGGCTATATACATACAAATTTAAAACACACCAAGGGCATTTCACAAAATATAAATTCTAAAACATTTCTGTGCTGTGTATAGACCAGCTCACGCATTTAGGCTTGAGAATCAAAACTTCTTTTGTAGGGAAAAGCTAGCTAGCTCACCTGATTTAAAGCTAATCACTATCAAAACTGTGCCTTCTCAGCCTCCACGTCCTCTTCCAATCCTGTTTCCTGCTAAGATCTCCTCCCCATTACTGGTTTTATGTCCCTTTAATTCTGCTTTTCCACCCACCCATTGCTTTGCTTCAGGAGCCTCACCAGCACACAGGCCCTCACTCACAGTGTCACGAGGGAGGCCTGTTCTGCAGGACTACATCTATTTTTGCATTTTCACTTTTCAGTTTGCACATTGTATCACAGTACAAGAGTGAGGCTCAATGTGTAATATAGGAAGGGAGCAAAATGTACAACAATTTTTATCAGCATAATATCAAAGAATTTTCATCAGTAATTGAAACTGAGTTATACTAGTCAAAGCAAAGGAATATAGTGTATTTCCTGAGGCAGTATAGTTGCCTTTTTACTGTGTATATTCACCAGGGGTGTAATTCAGCCCTCTGCAGACAAGAGAGCAAAAAGCCTATCAGCTTCTTCAAATCCACTCTGAGCTCCATTTTGAAGAATTAAATGATGCACAGGCTTTTTTGCAGAGCTTCTGCAAAGAACTGAATTTCAGCTTTAGAATCTGTGCTGACACTACCTTGCATGTCCTAAGAAGGGCTGTGCCTCTTCACTCAAACTGGAGTTAATAGGCACTGACATTGCTCAGCACATGGTAGAATTGCTTTCCTGGGTAGTGCTATTTGAACTGGAGAACAAATGAACTCTATCCAAGGGGCTTTCATGAAAACAGTTTTGAGGCATTGGATGCAAGCAGATGTTGTACCAACACCATGACAAACCACCCACCAATGTGATCTTAACTGTTTTGTCAGACAGAGAAACTTGTAATCCAGTTATTTGTAGAAAAAGTCACCATTCAGGATCAGTACAGTCTAATATAATACTGCTCAACTGAGTAGTTTCAGAACACCACAGATTGTTTTCTGCTAAATACTGCAACTAGATAAGCTATGTCAATAGGCCTCTCACCTGGTTTAAAAATATATTAATATCATAATATTAATATAATATATTCCCTATTGAAATATAATATAATTAATACATATCTATTAATATTATATATATTTACCATAGAAAATCAGGTTTATTTTCTAGATATTCTTTTCTCAGATTCAACCCACACTCAGGGAATTATCAATCTCTGCATCTCTAGTCAATCCTTTAACTGAAAATCGACTGTTTGTGACAGCAAAAACTAAGATAAGTCTTGTTCAGAAGCAGTAAATACAAAAACTTACAGCCATCTAAAATACAGTAATTTAAAACACTCAGATTGTTGCAGTTTGTTATCTCTTTTTTTTAATATTGGGGAATGAATTAGGAAAATAAAAGTAAAAATGTACTTTATTTTAACTGAATAGGAATATTGATTGAGACAGCATTTGGACACTGACAGTTATGATATCAGAATACATTATGCTTCTATGCATAAAAGGTGGTGTACAAAGTGAATATTTGTAATTTTTTCGTGTATTTATTAAGTATAATCAAAACCATGATGCATGAGCCTAAATAATTTTAAAAAAAGTAGCAGAGGAAATACATTGAAGTAGGGACTAGGGAGAATTTTTCCCAAGAAAAACACATTTTGAAACATACTTCTTAAATGAGAACTTAGCTCAACTATACTTTTTCCTGAATGATGTTCTTCTTCACATTATTTTTTATTCAATGGTAATTTTTAGCATTTAATGCAACTTGTAACATATACATTGGAGAAAATATTTTCTCTTTGACTTTCATATATTATTTCACAGTGGTTTTCCTTGAACTTTGAAGAAAGCTGATCAGCATAGTAAATTCCCAAGGTTCAGAAAGGCCTTTGGCTTCATCCCTTTTGAAGTACATAGACAAATACTTGGTGTATTTTGCTAGTCCTAGTAACACTGCATAGGACCATATCTTTTATAATTATTCACCTTCAAATTATCCCAGCTGGTTTCATAATCCCACTCATCTCCTAGCCTTTTTTAAATTTTATCTGATATTTTTCCTTTTTCTATTTTTTTTCAACCCTAGCCTTTTTCTCTGACCATTTCCCTCCTCTGCCTGATTCAGTACACATACACTATCTACCGATCCAAGATCCCCAAACATCTTGCAGAACTTCCTATGTTCAGCTAGTTTTATCTATGACTGGTAAATGCTGTTCATTGTCCCCCTTGTGCACAGAGGCTAATCATCTTGACCAAGGTCACACAGGAATTTGTTGCACAGCTGGAAACAAAACCTCTGAATTCTTGGTGATCACTAGACTGGAGACCTTTCTGTGTCCCTTCCTCCTTCAGAGAGACAGTGTACTTTAATACGTATACATAAAGAAATTTAACAACAATAAAAATATGCAAAGCAATATGCTTTCAAAAACATATATCAGTTAAATTGCAGCAGCAGGATAAAGGCCATCTGAAAGACAAACTGAATCACACTACTCTAAGATACTGCAATCATGAACTGTCTTTAGA